TTTTGGTAATAATCATCATTAGTCTTTCCACTATCACCACATTGACCTTTCTAACTGGCCAAGTAAAATCAGTCCAATTTAAGCTAGATACCTCCAAAACACTAGCAGCTAATTACAGCGAAAAAGAAAGCAATGCTCTGTAAGAAACTGTGCAAAACTGAAACAGAAAATGAAAACAAAGAAATCAGAATGTATAGAATTTCATCTTCCCTACTTTCGATACGCATACAAAAGATCAAATACAACAATCTGTTCAAAAGGTAACTGCATAGAGTATGGAACATTGAATCTCTTTAGACATTATGTTTGTTTTGAAAGCCTCAGTGGTTTGTTATGGAGAATTAGTGACTAATCCTCATCATCCAGACCAAGAAACACTGCAGACAAATTATAGAGAAGGTTAGAAGCTTCAATTAGGGTTAGGTTATAAAAAAAAATATTCAAAATCTTTGACATATTTTGACACAGATTTTATAGATAAGAAGGCCATCATAAAAAAATAAAAAATGCAGTTCCCATAAGTAATGTAAAGGGCACAACATACAAGTGAAAGAATGTGCGCTACTCATACTGTGAGGGAAACACAGTGGTGGCAGCATCATGCCAGACAGATGCAGAGACAGGCAAGGCAAGGCAAAGGCAAGGCAAATTTATTTGTATAGCACAATTCAGTACAAATACAATGCAAAGTGCTTTACATGATTAAAATATAGGAAGATAAAACGGAATCAAAGCAAGTAGGAAAAAATAAATAAATAAAAATAAAGTAAAAAATGCAGAAACAAAAAAGAATATTAAAAACTGTTGGACTAAAGAAAATATGTTTTAGTTGAACTGTTTAACTAGAACAGTTGAAGGCAATCCTAAACAAATGTGTTTTTAGTCTTGATTTAAAGGAACTCAGGCTTTCTGCACTTTTACAGTTTTCTGGAAGTTTGTTCCAGATAAGTGGAGCATAGGAACTAAATGCTGCTTCTCCATGTTTAGTTCTGGTTCTAGGTATGCAGAGCAGGCTGGAGCCAGAAGACCTGAGTGGTCTGGAGGGTTGATACACTGATAGCAAGTCTGTGATGTATTTAGGTGCTAAGCCATTCAGAGGTTTATAAACTAACAGAAGTATTTTGAAGTCTATTCTCTGAGATACAGGGAATCAGTGTAAGGACTTTAGAACTGGGGTGATGTGCTCTACTTTCTTAGTCTTAGTGAGGACACGGGCAGCAGCATTCTGGATCAGCTGCAGCTGTCTGATCCACTTTTTAGGCAGACCTGTGAAAACACTGTTGCAGTAATCAATTCGACTAAAAATAAACGCATGGATTAGTTTTTCCAGATCGTGCTGAGACATTAGTCCTTTAATCCTGGAAATGTTCTTTAGGTGATAGAAAGCCGACCTTGTAATTGTCTTTAAATGCTTTTGGAGGTTCAAGTCTGACAGGGAAGCTGGTCACTACTGATGGGAAAATGGGTGGAGCTAAATACGAGACAGTCCTTGAAGAAAACCTTAGCATGTTTCTGCAAGCTGTCAAAGATATCCAGTGAGCAGGTGTCCAGGAAAGCAATCAATGATTATGCATCACTCAGTCTCTATGAAGGTTCGACCCAATGACCCTGAGTGAAAGACAAAGTTACTCTCTTGAAAGAAACCCTTATGACATATATCCCAAAATATATTCATGAAGGATCTTATTTGACAATGCTCTTAATTTACTTTATTTTTAGCATTTTGGCAATTCGTAATCATTGAGAACCCAGGAATGCAAAAGCATTTCAGATTCCTTTGGACGGCTCCTGTACCTTGTTGAGATTCTATCATTTTTTTAGACCTGCTAAACAGTGTATACTGATAAAGGGTCTTTTTCCATGATTAAATTTAAGCAATCTGAGTCTAGAGGTTGAGGGAGGCTGATCTAACATGCTCAAACAAAGGCTCCTATAATCATTTCTTAGGCAAGTCTAAAGGGTGGAGAAGCCAAACAAATAAAACACATTTACTTAAATATACAGGGTTATAACAAAAAAGGGCTGAAAGAGCAACCTTAAAATAATAATGTGAGTCCAAAGTCCTATTAGTAATGCAACTGGTTTGGAATCAGAAGGATTTTGAACTACACCACCGTAATCACTTGTATAAAACACCTTTCTAATCCAATCAAACAATCAAGTAAAACTACAAAACAGTCAATACAGCATTGACTGCCTGGTGAAAACGTTAATCACTGACAATCCAAATACTTTCCAATATTACACAACCCTCTCCCCCCTACAGTTCACAAGTAAAAAAGAAGATATTATTTATAGCATTAGGAGATCCACCAGTTTAGACTTTAATTTTAAAACATTGGGTTCAAGGTACGAATTCAGGAAAGTAATCAATCAAATCGGTTTAAACGTGTTGTCAGAATTATATATAAAAAAAAAAGTGTAATTATTGAGTGAAGAATAATGAAATGATGCTTTATTTAGCCTGTTTAACTTTAAGATTTTTAAAGAAACACAAACTCATTTAAATCAAGGATATCTTCAATGTTATCTTCTCTAAATGCAAACTTTTGGTACACTTTAAAAGGTAGGGCTTAAAAGAATATATTTTAATTGTTAATATGTCTGACTTTTTATGATCAAAAATAAAAATCTAATCATTTGAGCATTGCTCCACAAAATAATTCAAAGTAAATGGTGCAAAACACAAATACAGTCCTTTTGAAAACCGGCAAAATACTTCTGATTCCATAAAACAACATCTTGACTGTAACTCCACCAAAATTAGAATAAAAGTCAAAGCATTTCTTTTTCTTCAAAGGTTTTAGTTGTCATTGTCTCAAGCAGAGCTGTCACGTTTTCATGTGTAGTTTTGCGTCAAATGTATTTTTTTTACTTCATAGAAAGGGAAACTGGTCAAACCAAACGGCTGATATCCATTGTGGGACTTATATTTCAGGATAAAGGCTTTTGGTTATTAAATTTACCTGCTGGATCTTCAACATGTACATTATTAATGTTAATCAATATTAGATATTTGTTTACATATGGAGCTCGGAAACAATGGCCACGAAGCTCCAATATGCACTGATATTACTTCCTTAGAAAGGGTCCTACAAGAACATTGTATATATTATTGAAAATATGAATTTCTCTTGTTTCATGTGATACCAGATATTATGTGTTTAAGTGAGAGGATGTTTTTTTTTTTTTTTGTCGAGGTTGTTTTACTTAGCCAGGCAAGTGTAAAGGGTCTGTTGATATGCACATGTGAGTTTTTGTTCTAAACCCATAAATATTAGTGAAAAACACATTTAATGACTTGTTTTTGGAAATACAAAAAATGCTCTTCTAGTGACTAGATTTCAAAGAAAGTTGGTGTCACATTAAATTTAACACCTTTGATCCCATCAGTATCCATCGCCTTAAGAGGGTAACTTCCTGCAAATGTAGAGGTTCACATAGACTTATGATTGAATAATTACTACCTATTAACAGTATTGGAAATCCCAGATGGTTATATTAAAATGTAATTGAAAGATTCTGATGGGAGGATTCACAACATTTGAGTCAAACCAAGGCACACTTGTGGGTGAATTTTAAGGCAACACTTTAAACACAACTTCTGTGTGAAGTCATGGAAAATAAAATCTGCTTAGATAGAAGCAAGATAATTGTGGATCACTACTAGTCTGGTTCATCCTTGAATAAAATGTCCAGATCTCTGATGGTCAGAGACGGCTCTAGAGGACATTTACCAGTGTGGGCAGTGTTTTTCTTCATGGGGCAGAGAACAAGAATAACAATCAAACAAACAAACGGGACAAGAGTGAATAACTTAGTGGATTAAGTGTGCCACATATCTAGGGTTTAAGACTCCTGATCTAACAGCTGAAAACTCTGATCCAATCTTAATACAAATAAAGTGTTTGAGCGACAGTGGCAGGAGTTTGCCATGCAATCGGACGGTTGTCAGTTCGAGCCCTGTTGTGTCCTTGGGCAAGACGCTTCACTTCCATAACCTACTGATGGTCTGTGAGTCCCCGGGGCTCTTTATGGCTACATTGTAGCTTGCTACCATCAGTGTGTGTGAATGACTGACTGTACTGGGTAGTGACTGACTAGAATTTATAAGTATTATATATAAGTATGACTTGCTATATAAGTACAGGCTGACTGTTTTTTCTAAAGTATTGTTCAAATAAGTTGAAACATTAAATTAGGCCAAGGGGGGAATCAGTTACGGTCTTCTGTCAGCAAACGTCATCATGACTGTTTTAGTACTACACTGCGTAAACTGATCTAAAAAAGTTCAAATTTCATAAATTCGATAAATGAAATGTTTTGTCAAGGGAAGTTTTGGTATTATTGCCCTTGAAATAATAATTACATATATCTACTTCATATAAGATTGCAGAGTTGTTGCTTTTTTCTTATTTTGAATGTAAATCATCTTATTTCACTGGCAAATTGTCTTACTTAGCTCCACAAATCAAAGAAAAATACAATTATAGCAAGAACAAAATCACGCAGTGTATGCTTTTAATACAGGGGCCAGGGGTAGTTCTACAGGGCTGATGGCCCCTGTTGGCCACTGTCTAGAACCGCCCATGTTGAGGCTACATTTTGATATGTCCTATCATATATCAGTCACGTCTGGCTGTCTTACCTTTAAGGAAGGAAGTGGCTTCTGTGTCACAGAGTTAAACCTGCTATGGTTTAATACTTTAATAACCTCAAAACAGAAGCAGGGGACCTCAGAAAATACTGGCTGGTAGGGGAATCTCTTACTGAACCCTTCTAAGCTTTTGTTCTCTTGTTTTATTAAAGATAGGCTCTGTGCTGTTTCTCCTCAACCTCCTCCAACTATGTTCAATGTAATTACTCTGAATAATGCATCAGCATATGCTATAAAAACATGGGCAACAGTAGTTGCAATGTTATTAGTTCCTGCATGTTTTATAAAAATGGCAAAAATAACCAACAGTCAAAATAGCTTTCAAGAAAAGGAAGATGTTTTAATGAAATCACAGATGCAATACTAATCAAAAAACGCTAGAAAGATTAATTATTATTATAAAATTGAATTCCAGTTGAACTGTTTGTTTTTTGTTTATTGTGACCGATCTAAAAACTACATAAAGAAGCTAATAGAGGTTCACCAAGGTCACAGTCCAGAATGCAAGATGTAAAAGAGGCATGTTACAAACATACAGAAAGCTTTGCGTACATACAGTTATATCAAACATACATTCAATTTTAGATTTCGATCTGCTCACACACTGGAATTATACATTTTAGCTTCATCAGCATACTTATAGCAGAACACTCAAGAGAAAAAACAAAACAAAAACCTGAGTTGCTTAATGGCACAAGTTTGTTATTTACATTGGAACCCATGTGACATATCTTATTCACAACATAAAGTGTGCATTAACTGCCAAATATTCACATTTCAAGAACTTCAAAATTGCGCAAACAGAAACAAAAGGACTCAACAATCTATTTGAAATATTAATTCGTTGACACTTTATATTGGCAATAGGTTTTTTTTTTCACAGAAAACTACCGCCTTTAGCTTACTTGATTGAATTAATGAGGAAAATAGTGATAAACCCGGAAAAGTTTTTAAAACAAGTGTTTGGATGTTAAAACCAAGAAAAGAAACAATACAGCTATTCAAAAAGAGACTAAACGTGTCACTGCATTTAAATAGTAAACAGCTCTTATTTTAGCTGATATGGCTCAAAGGGCCTTCCTCACCTTTACATGAGAGTGTAATCAGTATTATTACCGACTACAAAAGAAAGCTCACATGTCGCTTTATTAGTTACACCTGTTGAACTGCTAGTTAACATAATTTGATAACAGTAGCAAATATCAAATGTCCCATTTTCTTTTAGAAAGACTTTTCCAGGTTGAATCCTAGTGGAGATTCAATCTGGGGAGCTCTGTCTGATGAAGAAGTAAGAGGGATGGACAATAAGTTCTTGTGACTTATGGCTTTCAAGCTGCTCCAGAAAAAGTCTGAAGTTTCTCTGCAGGTCTGAAGAAGCAAACTCAAAGGCTAATGACTCGCTGTCTCCATCTGGTGGCTCCTTAAGGTCACTAATGTGGACTGTGCCATTTTGACTATATTGATAAGAGGGCGGCAGGACAAGTGGAGGTAGACTCTGGTTGAGCTGGTTGCAGAGGACATTAGAGTAGATGCAGGGGCTGGTGGCGAGATCGTTAGCAGATGGGGTCTTGGCCATGTTTGTGATGTAGCCTTTAGCTGATGCTATGGTGGGGGGTAAAGAGGAATGCAGGTAAGGGAGGATCTGAGGATTACAGATCTGTACATAGCTGTGCGTCCTCTCTAGATCTTGCAGCTTATCAAGCACGATGACTTCAGGAAAGCTAACTTCAGGCTTCTCTTGCTCCACAACCAACTTCTTACCCTACGGTTAAAGAAAAGAAGTTATCAAGTGGTGCCTCCTAAACACCGAAATGACAACACTGGTAGGATATACAGTTTCATTTGAAAGTTTAACCCCCCTACTTTAAAGAGCATGATAAATCCACAGTAGCAATTCAGAAAAGACAAAACTGAAAAAGTAATAATAAATAAAACGAATTTCTAAGATAAAATGTTGATTTGTATAAAAACAAACTTGTCAACAAACTTGTCCTATGAACAGTGAACTAACATATCTGTCAACAGGTG